CCAGAAACACTTATTTCCATTAGCATCACCTCATCATTGCTGCCATTGGCTAAAAATCATTAAAGCATTTTCTGTTGTCAGCTTTTGCAATAATCAACCAACCAGACTCTTTTCAATCACACTTTTCAGGCAAAAAAATACAAAAATATCATATGCAAATGAGTGGAAAACACGTTCGCAAATCTTGCGTCAGATGTCGGCAATGGACGTGCAACAAAAATACCCAATGTTGAGGCTAATCTTAGCCCGCTGTGTACAGTTAGCCTCGCTGGAATTGGCTGAGATGTAATCAAATCTTCCACAGTAGCTGCTTCCCATTCCTAGACAAGACATCTGCCTCTGTGCAGATTGTCCCAGTTAATCATTTCCCCAGAGTGTATCAAGTTGTTATTACCCTTTTTGTTTTTGCATGTGGAAATGAAGCAACATGACCTCACGCTACCTTGAAGTGCATTTATCAAGAGGCAGCATTTATTTGAACATAGCAAGTGAGCACTTTCAACAACGGGACAAAGTCTTGTCAACATTTTGGGTTTGCTTCTCACCCACGAGACCCGTTTCACAGCTACGTTCTCACACCTAACTGTCACACAATGGGTGTAAACAACTCAGTGTTTTTCTTCCTTAGTGATGGCAGGGTTTTAATAAATTAATACTCCAGCTTACAGACCGATAGGTTAACATTAAAAAAAAAGATGCATTGAAGTGAGATATGTAAATTGAAATGTAAATACTTTCTTGAAACAAATATAACATTCTGCTGCAAGACTATTTGTGCTTTTAAATCCTTTACACTTTGAATTAGGAAATGTATTTTAATGGAGGCTAATAAAAATGTGAACAAGCTAAATTAATGTTTTTATGACAAGCATTGATCAGCCACAACATTAAATCAACCGACAGGGGAAGGGAATGACACTGGCAATCTTGTCATTATGCTATGTTCTGTTTGGAAACCTCGGGGCAAAGCACACACCCCATAGCAACACCGTTGTCCAACACCGCACCACACTGCAAAACTTGCTCAGAAACAGTTCGAAAACCACAACAAAGAGCCTCCAAACTCCCCTGATTCTCATCTGACTGAGCATCCTCGGGATGCAGGCCCAATCCACTGAAGCCCCACCTCGCAACCCACAAGACCTAAAGGATCTGCTTTCAGTGCCCTGATGCCAGAAACCACAGGATACTCCCAGAGGTCCTGTGTGCTCTACATGGCCTGAGCTGTTTTGGCTGCATAAGGGGGACCACACAATATTAGGTATGTGGTTTTAATGCTGTGTCTGAACCTTGCACAAATGATATGTCTGTGTTCAAAAACATACAAAAAACAAAAACAAAGATTTTTTTTTGCCATAATCTAGCAATGATGGCAGCCTGAAGCTGTGAACTCACTGTCTGTGGTCAGTTTTTGGATGGCTTCTCTCCATTCTTCTAATTCAAACAGGGAGGAGAAGAGGAGAGTGTGGCTCTGCAGTGAGACAAACACATCATTTTAGAATTATTATTCAAGATTGTAACTGCACTGAACGTATTAGGATGTGTGTTTGTATACTTTTCCACTGAGGCTGTGCAGCTCCAGCCTGTAAAGAGGAGAGTGTGTGAGCAGCATCAGCTCCATTTGTTCCAGCTTCTTCCTGCTACGAGCTGGCACAGCCAGGCCCCTGGAGCCCTTCTGTATATAAAGACATGAATTAATATTTCACTCATCTGTTAAAAAAAAAAAAAAAAAAACCTCTGTGGGTCTGTGTCTTTTTAAAACGCACCGCATGTTGTCGTAGCTGCCGGTGTAGGAGGTACATTTTGGTTCTTATGGAGTGTAAGCGGATGTTCACGTCAGATGGTCGTTCCTGGTCTGAAACCCAACGAAGTCTGAGACCGGCAAGAGGCAGATACCAGCCAAACCTGTACTGGTCCTGCTTCCTGGATGAAAAACACGTTTGGTCAAATATATTTTTAGTGCACAATTTTTTAAAAATATGGTTAACAGATGACAACAAAGCAGTTGAATACTGTCCATACAGTTTCGTTTCTGCTAATTGCTAACAGTCTTAACCACATTTCCCACAAGCCCCAGCGCTCTGTCTTGCACTCACCCTCTGTTTGCATGTTTGAATCTAGTGCACAGCAGTAGGTCGGTGTACAGGAAGAGGTGACGCAGGCTGCGTTCCCCGTCACTCACATCCACTACAAAGCCATCACGCATCAGCTGACGTCTCTGAGAGAACACACACAGACACATTATATTCCATGGGCTCATATTATGAGGAGGATGGGATCAGTGGGGATAGCTGCATATGCAAATTACCACTTCTCCATGTGCACCTGGGCAGACTTTGAACAACACAGGACTTACCATGCCGTGACTGAGAGTAACCTCCCGTCTACTCTGTGAACTCTCATTGACACCAGACAGGAAGCTGCGAGACAATCTCAGAGCTTCTTGCAAGGCTACGTAATCTCTGTGTTCCTCTGGTGTCGTCTTCAGCAGGTCCTACGAGACCACAGAGAGGTTCCCAAGTCAGAGAATGAAAGATGAAAACAAATGAGAAACAGATCGTTGCTCGGCGTTCCAATTGCACTTCATGAGACGCTATTTATCAAATTATTGATGCAAAAAAAAGCGAAAAGCACAGAAAGACAGTTGCAGCTCTAAGAGTGAAGCTTGATTTTTTTTTTTAGGAACTGAAATGAACAATAGAGAAATTCTACATTAATGAAATAATCCAGAAGTTTTCTCACACGCAGCACTAATGTGGTCTTGGTGACTCTATCCAAAGGCTTATACAGGAGAGCTGCAAAGACAAAGACAGCCGTTAGATACTGAAGGCCACAAATGTATTCAGTAAAAACATGCGTTTAGAATAAGTACCTTCAAATGTGTATTTAGTTTTGTCTGCACCGTTGTTAGACATCATGCTCTGGAAAAAGCAATGGATAAAGTGGCACCTGATGCAGCTTGCTAGATGGGTAATCATGCATTCATTGTGTTCTGGAGATGCAGAGTTATTAGTACCTGGGCCAGAGTTCGGAAGCGAGGATCAGAGTGTGTGCACTTCCTAACGACTTCGACGGCCTTTTCATAGTTTTCAATGAAACCACCGTACAGACCGATCTGGTTCACCTACAAGAAGCAGCACAGTGGGTGGAGGCGGGTGAAGCACATTCCAGACAGAGAAACTCAAAAACGTAAATATTTTGAAGCTGTGCTTCTCTTCCTACAATTATTTGATGTGTGTTGCATAAAAATGTTCACACATTCTCTTTAAAAATGCTATTTGTTGCAGTTGTACATTTCATTCACAAATTTAAAAACACGTTTGCAGATGATGTCATTGTTTCCTTGGCAACATGACCCTAACTAGAGGAGATGCTCTGATGCTGGCAAGACTCATTGTCCTGATAGATGTGCTTCCAAGACAAAAGAAATAAAATATCTCACATGGTGAAAATAGTTTTCTGTTGTTTTTTGCATGTCCTAAAAACTTGTAAAATAAAAGCTGTGAAATTATGATATGATTGCCACTGCAGTTCCTCTGGCCTCTTTGTTTTCATGCTGCGCTGATGTGCTTCAGTGCAACCTAAGCTTGGCCAGTGTTTACATCTGGTTGCTTCTCTCCGGCTTCCTGTTCTCACTTATTTTTAGTGCTTTTTAATACAGTTGAATTACCGATAAAGCTGCACTCATTTTCATATTTTCCTGTATCAGAGAACTGTTCCCCCTCCCGTTGGGGCGGTTTTTCTGGTTCCTTCCCACCGTTGCCGACCGCTTGCTCAGAGGGAGTCTAAAGGCAACTTTGGATTGTTGGCTTCTCTGTTTTACTTCAAAAGATCTTCACTGTACTATGTTAAGCGCTGTGAGATGACGTATGTTGTGAACTGCGTTATATAAATAAATCTGAATTTACACGACATTAACCAGCAGTCACTTCACAGACCGCTAAACTACTAAATTTAGACTTTCATATGATTACAATAACACATTTTTTACACCTAAACCTTTTTTTTTAAATTCAAATTTTAGTAAATATCACAAAGTTGGAAAAAAAGATTTAAAAAGAAAAAGCAGCTTTCCTTTGTGCTACACATATCTATTAAAGATTGAATTGTGCAACTTTTACTCTCTGAAAATAACACTGATTTTCATGGATTAAAGGCTCAAAAAGCCCCATGTGTTTCAAGCTTTACGCAGTCAGTATGAAACAAGAAAAAGGAGGAAGTGTTGTGATAGTTTGTGCCTCTTCTTTTTTTTTTTTTTTTCAAACTAGATTCTTAAAACTGAGACGTGGTATAGGATAGAAACACAAAAACAGCAGCAAACTTACCATTTTCAGAAACAGGTCCCCCACTTTTAGCTCAAACTCAGCCTGAGTGCTCAGTCGGGCCTTCAGGCCTGAGTAAAAGCTTTGGTGCACGTCTCTGAGCTCCGGCACCTGATAGAAAACAGTCTGGACCTGCTGACTGGACAGAACTGGCTGGGAGGTCCCAGCCGAGGCCCTCAGAGCCTTCATGGGCTGGAGAGAAACATAAAAGTAGAAGAACTGAACTGTACAAACAAAGCTAAAGGTCAGCCAATGTAGGTGACAAGAACATGATGGTGGGTAAAGGCTGAAAATAAAAACTGAGAACAGACTGTGGTGAAGTGACAAAGACACAAACGTGTGAATCAAGTGCACAGTTCACATTTCCTTCACCACTCATATGTATTTCAACATCCTCTTAACTTTGATGCATGCACTCAAACCCCAACTAGACAATGATATGTGCACAACAATGAGCACACGGCATAGACATAATGCAGCAACCTCTCCTGAATACAAACCGGACGATGCATGGAATTTGATTTTATTTCTCACATTCATGTTTTTGCTTTGCTTTTGTTGTTCCAGGAGTTACAACTTCAAGAAAAAAGGGAAATGAGGTTTTGCTATTATTGGCAGAGAAAACAGAAAGAAGAAATGACCAGAAAAATCCCAGGAACTCGTTATTGCACCATTACTTCCTGCTTTAAATACCATGTATTGCTACTGTAAACAGATGTGGCATCATTAGGCCTGGGTGTCCGAGGTTATTGCCCTGAACAGCTCCAAATATAAGCGGCCCTGGATCTACTCACGTGCCATTCGGGTCATGCATTAAACCCCTTGAAGAAAAGCGTTTTGGTTCCTCTGTGTGTCATTCAAGCAGCAGATTTACTTCACTTTTCTTTGCAATGGTGCATTTTGTATGCTCATGCGCAAGAGAGCGGCGCATCATTTACAGGGTCTGTCACTGTTGGCATCTGGTGGTAGTCGGTCAACTAACTCACTAAGACAAGAATAAAAGTCTTCAGATTTAAGAAGCTTTAACAAAGAGTTTATGGGTGAAAGAGAAGTTGATGGTGGAGTTATCATTATTATTATTATGTTGGATCACTAGATTACGGAGAATTGTTAACCCATATACTAGGCTTTACCAATTTCATTCAAACTGGCAACTTTTGTGTAGTTCAGTGTTTTGAAAACCTTTTTTTTCAGCAGGCAAACTTCCCACATGACTATAGCACTGTAAATCATCATCATTAAATGAGCCTGTACTCGCCGTAAAATAATATGGATCTTTGGCCAAGCACTGAAAGAAAATTGGATGACCTGCCTAGAGTGCAGAGTCTCACATTTTGTATGCATTTTACATGTATTTTCCTCTGAAATAACTACAAATCAGTGCAACTATTAGGTTAAAACCTATTTTTTTTCTGGGCTGGGCAAAGCCCCAAATGTCAAGACCCTCACATCACATCTAGTTGTCAGAACTCAACCTAAATCTAATAAATTTGAACATTTATTTTGCTCTTATTGACGAGCAGCTGAGACAGTAATACGATTTCTGTTCAGAATTAGTTTGGCATCTAAAGGAATAGTGTTGTTAACTTCTTTTTGAAAAAGATTTACAAATGCAAGATGTTAGCAGCAAATTTGTGGATGTTTTGTAGAAAAGACAATCATTAAAAGGTCGCCAAAAACTTCTGGCAATAATGAGACTCTATTATCACTGACGAACACGTTCAGCAGTGGTTTGCGGCCGCAATTTTTCACGTGTGCTAAACTTTTAACTGTGTCAGCTAACGGATGACGTTTTCCACAAAGTTAGCCAGAAGTCCACCACAAAGTTATTTTTGCTACAAATCTTAGCTTACAAAGGTTAAACACAACTGTTTGCCTAAAATCTTTCTTTTTAAATCTGTAGAGTTCGTGTGAAGCTACAGCTAGCATTTGGTTAGCTTCGTTTGGCATAAACACTGGTTTAGTCGAGGTAACAGGCACCTCTGAAGTTTGCTAATTAACGTGTTATATAATGGTTGTTTTATTTAGAAAAAGTCCAAGTGTATAATTATGGGTTTTATGCACCTTTAACTGGAACTAATGGTGTCCCTTTATTTACAGCCTCTATGTTTAGCCACGCCAATCTGACTGTAGCTTCACAATAACTGCAGACATGAGAGATGTAACAGTCTTTTGTGAAAAAGGGGAACCTTATCCGTAATGCAGAACAATATTAACCACTTTAAAAAACGGAAGCTGAACAATGAAGACACTGAATGTGAGTGCTGGACATACTCTTATATAATGCTGGCAGAAAAACATGTAATAACCACTAATGTTCAGATGCATTAAACAGAACAACAGAATGAGCTTTGGTATGATCATGAGAAATAAAATAATATGTCCTTGAAGGGTAAATGACTTGTACAAGTGTGGTTATAGTTGCACGACAAAACGAAAGTTAAACAGAAGGCTGGCAATATTTATATCAACAGGGCTTTCCTGCTTCAGTCTGCAGATCGAGTGCTGACACACTTCTTCTGTGTTATAAATACGCCTGTTTGTTGTGTTTCTTTCAGGTTTCTGTGTGTGTTACCGTCAGCAGGGCGTCCAGCTCTCTGAGATAAACCTCCTCACTCTCCAGGATGCCTTTCAGGACCACAAGCCTTCTCTCCAGCATCTCGTCCAGGCTGCACAATGTCTGCATCATTCAACAAAAGGTCACGGTTGGCGTCAGAACCAGTGTTACTGTCAGACAGCTGAGATACTGCAAAATGGGTTGACATGTGAAAAGGCCACAGACTCAAACCTCTCTGGGGTCCGACTGACCCCATACACAACATGTGGATAACACACTGTATATGTCTCTGTCAAGGCAAACATAATGATTGTACATTCTGAGATCTAGGCTAAAAAGTAGAGGCGATCAAGCCGTCATAGTGGCTGCTCCTAATCTCTGGAACAACCTGATGTGTCATGTAAGAAACTTTAAAGTCACAGCTGATGACACACCTGTTTTCAGCGGCGTTCAATTCGAGAAAAGCTTGACACTCTGATTGCATGTTTTATTGTGTTATCGATTTTTTCCCCCTATTATTTCACCGTTTTCATTCATTTCTATGTAGATTTGTTTTCTAGTCATTGTGTTTTACAATCTGCGATTTCAGTTGTGCAGTACTTCAGTAGTTCAACTCTTTTGTCAATAAATTAGACATAAGATATGTCCTCATTTTGCTGCTTTATGGTCCTTTCTGTATCTCTTTCATCCAATGTGGTAAACAGAGCTTTTCCATCCGTGTCATCATTGTCATTGAAATTTAAATTTCTGTGATGCCCTGGTTTGGTATTCTGCAAACTAGCTAAACAAAGATCGCGTACAGTACAAGCAGAGGTCAAAAAGTTTGTATAACGAGGTATATATTGCAGCAGCAGATCATGCATTGTACTATTATTTTTCAATTTACGCCATTGCACCTAGCCCATTTTCCTTCAGACTGTCTATACCTAAAGTCTTCAGTTTTGTTTCTCAAACCATGCCTCTATGGCAGCCTTGAGCTCATCATCATCAGGAAATTTCCATTCATCCATCCATCCATTATCTATACACCACTTAATCCTCATTAGGGTCACGGGGGGGCTGGAGTCTATCCCAGCTGACTCAGGGTGAAGGCAGGGGACACCCTGGACAGGTCACCAGTCTATCGCAGGGCTACACTTAGAGACAGACAACCAAGCACACTCACATTCACACCTACGGACAATTTAGAATCACCAATTAACCTCAACATGTTTTTGGACCTTGTGGGACGAAGTCGGAGAACTCGGAGAGAACCCACGCTGCACGGGGAGAACATGCAAACTCCACGCAGAAAGATTCCGGTGCCCCCACTGGGACGCGAACCTCATCAGGAAATCTGGTCCACACAAATGTGATTTCAAATGTCTAAACAGGTAGTAATAAATGAGGGTCAGATCTGAACTGTAGGCTGGAGGCAGGACTAATATCACCATATACCTCAGACAGCCTTTTGTAAGGAACTTTATGACTGCCCTAAATTCAAAATTTTGGTTTTCCATCATTGCTTGATGGTCCTCAACTTCCAATGTCTCTGAGGGCCACACAAATGTGTTGTGACAAGTAAACATGATATGTTTGAACTAGTGAGATGTTGGGTTGTCTGGATATGTAAAGAAATGTTGTGTTTTTGACCTGTCCTCGTACATATGAAACCTGCCTAACATCAGTCAACCCACGCGACTGAAGGCATGTTACAGTTACATGCTGATGTTACCATTTAGCTAAACACAGCCTCACAGAGTCACAGCAGAAACGTGAGCTCAGCGTCACTGACTGCTTCTTGTGCTTTGTGGTTTCCTTTCATATTCACTAAAATATAAGTAGGTCAATAGATAGGTTGAAGAACTCTTGCAAACTATAAGGTGTAGCTTGAACACTTGTTATCATAAAGGTTTTATGGTAAATCTTCACATGTATTCATTGGTTTCCTTTTCTTCTTGCTGTCATGAAAATAATAAAACCCGCAGACTAGTGAGAACAAGAAACCGTAGAGAGCCTTCTGAGTGATATTAGTGATGATGATGAAATGTGAACTCACGGGGGTGTCGGGGAAGTCTATACTCTCAGGGTGAAGAGGAGAAAGAAGGCAAGGCTCTGCTTCATCCCGGAAAACATCCTCTTCCAAGACATCTGTCTCTGCTTCCACTACAACAGACAGTTAGCATGTATGAGTGACCAATGTCAAGTAAGAGCCCATATCTGAGTCTCTTCCTCTTCAATAAAGTGTTACTTGCACAATTCGAGCAGAGATTGTGAAGATTTTTACAAAAGAAAACAAGTAGATATGACATTTCCCACCCACCTGGTACACGTTGTGACTCCAGATAATGCACAGCCTCCCGGTAGACGTCCATGGCAGAAACAAATGCTGTGCTCACAGCTCGCAGGCTGAGCAGTCGAGGCGCTGCATGTGAAACGCACTCAGCTGGTGACAGAAAACTTCCTCTTTCTGTTAAGGATGCACAAAAGGGGAAAAATACAACTTCCTGTCTGTGTGTAGAAAAAAGAAAAGAAAAAAAGGGTACAAGTTGATGGCAACTGATGTTTTTAATCAATCCCCACTTTTTTCTTGTTTCCTGATTGCTTTCCTCCTCTGTGACAGCAAGCTGAATGTTTGAATATATAATGAGTGAACAAAATGAGACAGATGAGGAGGTCATCTGGGGCTTCAGGAAACAAAGGCTGACATTTTTTTTTTTTTTACAACGACTAATCACGAAAATAGCATTCACTGACGATTAACATACCTGTTTGTTGTAGCCCTGATATCCTCATACAAATGTTGAAACGTAATTCAGTGTTTTTACTCATAATGTGGAACACTCAACAGTCGAGTAAGACAATGAAAGTAAATTACAATAAGCTATTAGCAGCTAGTAAGTGCAAATTACATAGTAAGTCATTACAATTTTACTTTAAAAAATATATAATAATAATAAATATACGGTGTACAGCATTGTGTATCATACAAACCTTTGGAGATCCAATTACATGTTACACCTGAGTGTACATTTTGATCGCAAGAAGCATTTAGCAGCAGAATTACTGTCCAAAAAAACAATTAAACATATGATTTACAAATTAAGATTGCTGCATATTCCTGTGTTATGACTGCAGAACCCCCTTTACAGACAAATGCTGCCCTCTGCAGTAAAACAGATGTTAACACTCACATGCCTTACATCAGTGGCGGGCCATGCATTTTACTCCTAGGCCTTCAGTGGTGTCCTACCTGAATCAAACCACCTCTCAACACCGTCATTGTGACACCCCAGCTTTACAAACCATCAGTGTTATGCAGAAAGGCAGCATAACAGGACGTTGCATCTCATATAGCGAGGATGAATGTCATTACTAGAAACCCAGTTAAAACAATTCAACAAGTCTCCATTAACTGCAGCTACACCTGCACCACATACATCACATCTAACAGGAGCATCAATAAAATG